AAAGAGTATCCATTCACTTATTGTGAGATCACTGGGCATACTCCCAAAGCTGCTGGCAAGGTGATGCAGAGAAGGACCACAGGATTTTATCTATTTTAAAATATATTGGGTTGCTGAAGCTATCAAGCCATGCAATAATATACAACTTCTTAATGAGACCAAAGAAAACACTTTTAATCAAATTTAATCTCATGGAAACACTAGTGGGTTTGATGACAATTTCATCTGGAAGCAGACTAATTAATCTGGAAGGGCATTTGCCTAGGATTTGGGAACGACGGATTTAAATTCAGAGTTTTCCCAGCTCAGAGTGACTTGCTACAGCAAAACTCAAACTGCTCTGAATTGGTTTGGGAGTCTTTTGCATCCCTTGGCAGTGCATTATCACAAAACATAGATAGCCACTTTCTTCACAGTCAGAGGCTTTTTTCAACGAAAATAAAACTTCACTAATAATAATGCTCCAGAATAATATTCCATTTTTCTCAAGTATGTGAAAGGACTTGTTTCCTTTCCACTATGAAATCAAATGACTGTTCTGTACTTTTCATTATACTAATAACCATATCCTCCTAACCACCTTTCCCTTATATTTACCACAAGGCAGGCCCCAAGATATTAGGTGTCCTTAGTCAAATCTTACATGTGTGACATTTGTAGAAAAAGAAACAACAGTGACAAGTCCACTGAGGTATTGACAACAAAGTTCAATTGTACATTAACAAAAATTTTTCCACATTAATAATAACAGGTTACTAATTCTGTGAAGGCAAAACCTTCCCTGGTAGGTACTACCTACTTAATACAAATAAGAAAGAATCAGAAGAAATTAAAATATTAACATCCATCACTCAAGGGACTTATCTTTTCACCCTCCAGGTTTCTTAGTTTATGGCAATTTACTAATAGATGTGTTCAATCTTTTTCTTTTAATTGCCAGTTCAGAAAGCTCCCGTCTGCAAAATATCTGTATTCTAAAGCAACACTGAACTGATTTCCTTTTACTAGCCCCAGTCACACATTTTTGGTCAGCGTTTATTCTTAGAAAAGACTACCATCTCCACAAAAATAAAATATAAAGACATTCCTAATTTAAACTGTTTTAACTCTGTAATCAGGACTATTAAGAATGTTTTCAACTTGATCATATTTTTTTTATTCTCCTTTAATTTATTTGCATTTCCCAATTTCTTGTTTAGACACGTTACCTGCTGCTTTGATGACCCTCACAGCTACCTAGGAAAAAAGGAAAAAACCCTAACATAGATTTTGCCTGTGAATGAAACAGTGTCCACGGTACCTGGGATACAGGCCAACACCAACATCCTGCATCTCTCCATTACTGATGGTGAAACAGTTACAGGTCACCTGTAAAAACAAGGGAAAAAATCCAGGATTACCAGAATCATTTGGAAACTCCATACTCAAGTGAAAAAAACTTTCAAAATAAAATGAAGGGGCAATTGGTAATTAGATGGGAAACATTCAAGCCCAACAGTGGTGCTCTTTCATTTTAGAGCAATCACATCTGGGACACACTCTCCCATAAAACTGCAGTCAATTAAAAGCAGAAATTTTAGTATCCTGCAAAAATGTGGGGCTAAACACATGCAGAGGCTCTACTTTACTGTCCAGAGGGGAAAAAAAAAAAAAAAGCTACCCAACACAGAGCCTGAGAAGGCCAGGCCAGAGACAACATAGCAGATGACAGTGTCTGCTGATGAAAAGAGTGGCTGTTTCCATGCAGGGATTCTGCTGATGCCAGGATGTCACAGCACCTTTCAACGAGTATCAGCGGAGTCCAAAGAATATATATGTGGGACAGTTTTGAAGTAAATAGCATCCTTGACTGTGGCCACCCGATAAGGGCATAAATAAATACAAAAACTGCACTATAGCATATCTTTCACGTTATGGGTATTCGGTTTGCATGTAAAAGATCCCATGAAAAAGCACATTCAAACCACCATTCAAGAGAAATATAACCTTTCATTTAATCTCAAATATTCAGCTGGATAGTGTATTCTTTCCTCATACAATCATACAAAGCTAAAGTGGTTTTAGAAAAGAGTGGAGAAGAATGGAAGCTGCTTGCAAGTAGATATAGCCCTATCACAAGCTATCAGACTGAAGTTTCTTGGTGTTCAGCTCCAAGATAGATTGGCATCTTGTAAATGATTAGCAAGTATCATTTTCATGGGCTTAAACAAGAACCAGAACCCAATTCCTAATATATTTTTTAAATATCTGAATTTATTTGGAATAGCTGTTTTTGTTTCAGTCTTTGGTTTTTTTTTAATCTGTTGGTCAGTTATCAATGGTGTAGTAATAAATTTTTTTCATGTAGAAAACCACTACATGATAGAGCATATACAAGAACAATCACAGATCTCTTCTACATAACATTAGATTATTAATATCATTAATTCTCGTTAGAACAGAAAATGAGTTAGAGTAGGATTTGGCAGACGTGAAAATGAGATTTGAAAGTTGCAGTTTTATCCATAGAGTAATTGCCCAGAACAGTAAATGGACACCTCTATTTTAAAGAGGTACACTGAACAATTTAGTAGTATAGCTTATTCTATAAATTGACAAATTATTATTTATGAGAGCTTTAACCATAAGGTGAAAATGAAATCCTCTTTCCAAATTTCTCATAAATTCTGACAGCAACATTAATTTAAATAAATGTACATGCAGTAACAGCATGTGCTTTTTGAAATGGTTAGACAATACTTTGATTAGTCTATTATTTATGTAACCCACTTGAATGTTCCTCATCAATTATGAAAAGCATACATCTTAACGATTTCTTTCCTGCTGGTATTGGATATAAAGTGTCAGACAACTTCTGAGCTAAGATTAGTACATTTAAAGTGGCAAATATCCTAGTTCTAAAAATATTGACTTGATTTTGGTATTTATTGAAAACATAATGCCTTCCAGGTAAAAGAGGAAGCAAGCCAGCTTATGTAGACCTTAGCGCTCTCTAACAGATTATGAAGTAGCAGAGGTCGAACATCCCTTAGAACTAAATGAATCAATCTCTCTTCCTTGCAAATCTCCTATTACTACCATAAAACTTTTTATATTAAGAATATTGAATTGAATCATTGTAGAGTTATAGAACTGCTTCATCATTTTCTATTAAAGGTATGTATTCTATTATGTTAAAAGCTTTACACACATAAGTCACAATAGTTCTACTTTTTCTTTTTCATAAACATGCATTAGCTTTTTTTACCAGCATATACATGAATTAAAAATGAGATGAATGGATGCTCTGAGATTCAGACATCAAGAGCTTCTTTCAAGAGTAGTTCGCCGTTAGGCACTTTTTAACCTCTCTGTTTTAGATATTTTAACAGCATGCAGTTACATCTCAATATCCCAGTGAGGTAGCGAAATACCTTCTAATTTCTAATTATTTGCAGTTTCAAATACGAGACCAGGAATCCGAAGTCTACAGGGTCAGATCTAAAATGTATTTAAGTACGTAAACAGAGGCAGAAGTCTAACTGGTCCCATGAATTTTGAGCTACATGATTTTGCACACAATTCTACCAGAGGGATAAGAAGTTTCAGGTGCTCTGAGGTTTAATTAACCTCCTAGGAGAAAATCTTTCCCCCCCCTTTTACACTCAGGTTTAAACAAAAAAACAGCAATGCACATATAAAGAGTACTACAGATAGTAACCTTTGTCATGGCTGCTTTCTGTCCTCACCAAGTGGAGAGAGACAAATTGAGATGGTGGTGGAAGGAAGATCTCATCATTTACAGTGTGAGAAATTCTAATATAATAACAGTTAGCAGATGGTAACAGGAATGACATATGGAATCTCCACAGTCTGTCAACTGAGGATGGGATTGTTTGTTATCTTTTAGATTTGTTATAAAGTCTCTAAAAATCTACTGAATCTCCTCTACACTTCTATTCATGTAAACTTTTAAAAGGTTTTAAATCTCAAAGTTAAAGATCAGTCCTACCAAGGGGAGTTTCTGAGATTTCAATCCAGAAGTCTACCACAAGAGTTGATGTTGAACACCACACCTCCCAAGAAACAAAAGGAAGGAGGCATTTCTTTCACAGAACACCTGAAGAAAAATCCATTTGCCTAGCTTCCCAGGATTCACAGGCGTAGCTCAATAACAGCTAAATCTGGAGTATCTAACACTGCTGTAGGAGAGCACTGGTAATCTGCTTATTCCTGAGGCAATTGATTATGGATCAAAACCTACTGAGACTGGAAGTTAACTAACTCCATTTCTAGGGAAAAAAAAAAAAACAAAATAAACAAACAAAAACCCAACCAAACAAACAAAAAAACAAAATATGCACAGAAAAACAAACAATGTCTTTCTCACGCATCACAGTATTTCTTTCAGGTTTCACGGTCACCTTGTGTTGTCCTTTCTGTGCCTTAACTGACCCACCTTATTTTTATACTACAGTCAGGTTCTGATTCTGTGTGATCCCAGATTTTAAAATAAGAAAGAATAAACAATTTTTCAGCAATCTGGCACTTCAAGAAATGGATTCTTCCTGACAAAGGCATGGCCCTTGTCATCTTAACTCCTGCAGAATCATTTATCTCAGTTATTTAATTTGTGCTGTTGTTCAGCCTGTCCCTTCTGATTCCTCTAAAAATTCCTCTCTATCCAGCTATGCAGCAGTAAAACTGCATATCCACACAAGAAGACAGAACAGAGTACTCACACGGTTTGTTATACCAACAAATAAGGAAAAATGCCAACATATCTCAGAATGTCCAAGTTGCAAAGAGAAATTCCTTGTCATTTCTAAAATTTCTGAAACTACAATCTCCCAGCATGAGAACAGAGAGAAAATCCTCAGGGGAGAGTCGCAGACTTTTCAAACCTCCGTAATGCAAAACTCACTTAGGAGTATCCTAGAGCTCTTAAAGCTTATCATCATGGCCTGACTGGCTGTACAGTTCACTAACAATTTAAAGAATCAGTTCTCAATGTTTGAGTTGGCTCCACGGCAATAAATCCTGCAAGTTTATTTAAAAGAAACTTCTATTTCAAACAACAAACAATATTATATAAACTGATTGAACTAAATAAAAATATTTGTTCTTTTGAGAGACTGCACATGTTTTAGAGAGGTATCTTGTACTCAGGAAGGTAACCCAAGTAGAAGACATAATCTTTCCCAGACTGGTAAACACACAGAGAGTAAACCAACTTTACTGACTGACCATTATACTCAGGCATACTTTATCATCAAACAAAAATTACTGCAACCTCTTAAATTTTATTTCCTCTCTGAGTGACGTATGAAAACTCTGTAAATTTACACCGTAAGGAGGTCTCTGTTATCAAGACATCTGGAGCTACTGTCTGAACAATCTCTGTCTGTGCCAGACCCACAGTCTACTGGACAGCCATGAAGATTTATTTCAGTGTTCGCATTTGACAGGGTATGAAGGCTGCAGTTTGGCAACACACCGAGTTGAATTTGCTTTCAGTTCAGCCCTCATTCATATTGCTTTATACTATGGATTTGCATTTGGGTTAAATAAAGTAGACTCAGACTTGCTACCAGGACATTCTAGCTTTGGTATTTCGGTCACTAAGACAATGAAAAATGTCAAGAAGGGAATAAGGGAAAGAAACCAAATCATTATTGGCTTACGCTTGCTGTGCAGATCAAATTACAAACATCAGGACTAATAATCAATCATTTTGTCTCCACATGTTCCTGCACTTTGCTGCAACACAGTGAGGCAGCTCTCAGAACACGCTTAAGAAAACCCCACAAGATGGACTTCCAAAGGGTATACTGCACTGATAGGGTCAATATAATTTTCAGCTTTGATATGCAATGACTCCAGACATCTTTACAAACGGTGTGCCACAGCTGGCATATTCTAAACCACCACCAGGAAGAAAGCTATAACTAACACTTTTTTCCCTAATTTATGAACCCAATGTAACGTAAATTAAAGATATTAAAAAAAAAAAAAACCTTCATGGATTATTAAGTTTCTCATTCACATTCAAAGCTGGCTGGGTATTCCTGTTCATTGCCAAACATTTAATGAAAAATGCTGTAACCAGTTCTCATGTTAAGAGGTTTCTCAAGAGACTCAAACATTATCCAGGAGGAAGGGATGGGCAGTAAATGCTATGCAAGGGACACACTAATTCAAATGACCAAGATATACCCCAGAGACGAAGGTCTAGCACCTCTACATCCCACTACAGCTCTGCACCAATAGCTCTTTCCCACTTGAGGATGAACAGATACCAGGCACAGATGGTTGATAGATCTCAAGTCTGCTAATGACTTCATTTGGCACATGGAGTGCTAGAGCAACAGTGCTAAACACACCAACAATGCTAAACTGTAAATGTGCAGTATGGCATGGCAGAGACAGACCTGTCAAGCCCC